TTTCCCCGTCTAGTAAAACATGCGGACAGAAGGTGTATTGGGTATACAGTGTGTAGGGCGAGTCTATCTTAGATAATATGATGTCTATGACTAAACCTAACGCTAAAAGGGTCGTTTGGAGTTAAAAGTGTTAAAGGAGTTAAAGGAACTTGGCAGACCGAACGCAATGTTTATCGTTCGACTGTTACAGCACTTGACATTTCTAGCTTCTAACATAATTTTAACGATATTTATTTATAGTTACCGAACCAAAAATCAAATCTCTATTAAATTCAAAGATTTTCCATTCTTACTACCTAATAATAAAGAAGACAAAAGTGGTAATATATTTAAAATTTTAAATGACACTGGCACTGAAAAAACGTACAGTTCCAAATAATTCCTACTTTCAGCAAGAGTCGAACAAAAATTTTACTATTTTTTGGTACCGAGCAATTCCAGTTGAATGCAATAATTGACTTTGAATTAATTAGGTTCGGCCAGTCAAACAAACACCACATAAAAATGTCGAACTAAGTGCGCATTAATGCAGCCAGTCGAATCCGTTTAGAATCTGTTTAGAACTTTAGTTTTATTGGTATTAATCTAAAGACTCAACAAGTTTTTAGATCAAATAACGCATTTATGACTAACACCTTTATTTTGACATCAATTTAGATAAAACATTTCTATAAAATTATACTAAATGTTGGTTGATACTTACATAATTTTTGATATATTGCATCGTACACTGTTATAAAAAGGTTATCAGATAATACTTGAATAAATTTCCCTATTAAAATTGAAGGGATACATTTATACAGTGTGACCCATTTAGATTGTAAACACCCTTGTAAAATTTGAAGGTATTAACCAATTTGAACCAATTTTTTTTAAATTGTCATGTGACAAAAGATCTACTTTGGGACAAAATTTAAAATGTTTATTTTAATTTTTAGAGTATAATACGATATTTTTTCGTAGTCGAAAATGGATAATTTTTATTAGAGAATTTTTTAATTAAAAAATTACTACGTCACTGGATTAAGAGTGCCTTCTATTAGCTCTGATCAAAATTTCATAAAAATATAATATTATTAATAACGAAGTTATAACCACTTAAAATTCGAATACTTACTAAGGTAACGGTCACAAAAGAACACTCAGATATCCATGGAAATTATTTTTTCCAATAAATGTAACAATAAATCAACACTGGATAAAAAAATTAAAAAAGCATAAACACTTAACGAAAATAATTAAAATTTCATTTAACTTTTCACGAAATTAAACTAATACTTACAATAAAACCTAATATTATTTCAATTTAAATCTTAGTTGCCGTGAAGATGATGCTACTGTTTGACACTTGTGTAGTAGAGGCAACTAATGTCCAATTATTTGTTACAGTTAAGTTTGTTAAATTATTCAATTTGGTTTATTGTTAGATTTATTAGAATAAATAATTTCCATGGCTATCTGTTGATACTGCGTGTTCTTTTGTGACCGTTACCTTAGTAAGTTTTGGAATTTTAAGTGGTCATAACTTCGTTATTAATAGTTAAACTTTTATGAAATTTTAGTCGCAGCTATTAGAAGGCACTCTAAATCCAGTGGCGAGTAATTTTTTTTAATATAAAAATCGCTAATAAAAATTCCCTATTTTTGACTACGAAAAAGTAACGTATTATACTCTAAAAATTGAAATAAACATTTTAAAATGTTGTCCCATAGTATATCTTTTGTTACCTGACAATTTAAAGAAAAAATGGTTCAAATTGGTTAATATCTTCAAATTTTACAGGGGTGTTTCCAATCTAAATGAGTCACACTGTATATTATTACTCCTAGTCCCATTATATTTTACCACGACAGGCCAGATGGACGAACTTTGGAACCTACCTTTGGATTAAGAGTACTCGGCTCAGATTTGAGAAAACAGACCTAAAAGGATCTCTATTTAAATTAAGAAATAATAATTTATTTTAATAGCTAGCCAGGAGCAAGTAAATATTGTTAGGTGGTGTTGTAGTTACTGAGGCTGGGTGCTGGCGCCCAGGGTATTTAATTTGGTATTGATATATTTTTTAAATAAAGTTTCCTATTGCGTTTTACTTATAAATCCACCAACCACCGTTCATATTTTGATCAACCGACTGCTATTATTTTTAAAATTTTAAATAGGTGACAATTTGGCGAGAGGTACGACTTACGGGGTTTGTGAGTCAAACAACGGTTGATCAACTACAAGAGCTGGTGATATTAGGCCCTGATGCTCCGAAGTGTTATGAGTCAACAACAAGAACTAAAAGAAACTTTATTGAAGTTTATGTATCCACGCAGAAATTCTGTGTTTGTCCCCTTAGCTGCTGTGGCCGTATCGATATCAAAAACTGTACTAGGAAACTAGCATGGAGGAAGGATAATTGAAACGAGGTAGATGGATGTTCCATCACCATAGCACCTAGGAATTCTTCAGCGGAATCATCGGGAGATACGGGTAAGAACGTTCCTATTATTATTCTTGGTATTTTGATTTCTTTCCTGATTTCCATTCACTGTTTTCGTTTTCACGTCGTTTAAATTTTTTGTCCGTCTGTTCTTGGTATTTTGTTTTTTTTATGTTGTCCATTCAATATTTTCGTCTTTGTGTCGTTCGAATTCTTTGTATGTCTGTTCTTGATATTTTGATTTCTTTTCTTACAAAAGTCTTGAGTCAATTTCTGTGCATGGTCTTCTCTTAACAAATTCCCATAGCCGATTTCTCAATTGAAATATTTTTCTACCCTTGACTTCCAATCCCCGTTGCATTGCTTCTAGACTTTAGTTTCATATCTCAAAAACACTGGAAGTACTCTTACGAGGGGAAATACCTTGGTGTTTGTAATCCTGCCTTGAAAAAGTAGTTGGCACCTCTAAGGAGTCAGGTATCTGAGTTTTTGGTTTATGAAAAACTGTCTAAGAGCCGTTTCTTTAATGCTGATTCAAGTGCCTATTCAGGGTTTTCATTTTCATGTTGTTTGATTTTTTGTTCGTTTGTTCTTGGTATTTTGTTTTCTTTTCTGGTGATTTGCCTGTTTGTTCTTGGTATTTTAATGTTTTCGGTTTCATGTCGTTCGAATTCTTTGTTATTGGGTTCTTGGTATTTTTATTTCTTCTCTAGTGTCCATTCTGTGTTTTCGTTTTCATGTCGTTCAAATTCTTGTCCGCATGTTCTTAGTATTTTGGTTTCGTTTCTGGTGTCCATTCAGTGTTTTCCTATTTATTAATGTAATTTTTAAAATTTTGTTATCTGCCTCGTGTAATATTTTTCGTAGCCGTTTTTGTCAATTTAGCATACGATCTTCAAATGACGAAATTGGGATAGCGCCAGATAAGAAAAAATTTGGAGAGAGGTGCGATTTACAAGGTTTGTGAGTCTGCTCCTGAACTTAACTAAACTTTATTGAATTTGATGCATCCACACATCCTTAGCTGTGGTGGCCGCATCGACTTCAAAAACTGTACCAGGCAACATCGTAGTAGATGAATATTCCACCACCATGGCACCTAGGAATTCTTCTACGGAATCATCGGGTGAGAAAAAGTCCGCTTTCCAGACGATAGACGAAGAGATCGTTCTATTCTAGGCATATGTAAAATCAACAACGTCCGCTATTTCAGTGTCGCTGCAATAGTGGAATGTGGTGAAAGATGGTAATGACAGATGGATTATTGATTATTGTCAGGGTGTAATGGTCGAAAAGAAATATTACGATTACAGGTGAATTTATATAGTTAACTTGGTTGCAGTTAGTTGTGTTTTCATTTTCAATTTATTTAGTTGAGCCACAGCATAGAGAACAATCGGTATTGCGACTCAAAGCATCAGAATTACATCGTTGCGTCACCATTTTCTTAGGAATAATTTTATTGGGAAGACATATTCTGTACAGTAGCTTTTTTTATAGTTTTCTGCTAGTGGTGTATCCAAGTGTTATTTTTCTTTTCAATGGTGATCTTACATCCGTTATTGATAAATATTGATCAAAATTATATATCATATCACAGTATTTTTTATCGCACATCTTTTAAATTTGAAATTGATTGTAGTCTCAGTTTCAGATGAGAGATCGAAGATATTGTAATATTAAGTGTGCTATTATAATTTTGTATAAAAAGTTTCGTACAGATATATAAAAATTATCTTAAACTGCGAACCGGGATTTGTGAATGATCCTAACAAAATGATGTCGCCTGACAAACCTCTTCCTCCTTGTGGAAAGTCGTTAATGGTATTACCTCGGGTATTGGTATTACCATAGATTTTTGGGGGCAAAATATTTTGTACTGCATTTTCTGCTTTCTCCGATATGTGTGGAGGAGTCGATGGTAAGTCTTCTATATTGCTGATATCAGACATGTTGATAATATAATTATCGAAGTTTAGCTATCTACGAAAATTTAATACGTACTGATTTTGACAACTTAAACAATTACATAGGAACCTAGGACAAACGTCAAATGCACAGCATGCTTGATTAAAAAATTATGGGTTTCTATTGATTAAAAATCTGTATCGTTATGAAAAATCTGTATCATAATGGGTATCATTATAAAACGGATTATGGGCATATAAAGTGCATTATTATAATACGGGTGTAGAAAAAATGCATAACTGAACTGATATTTATTATTTTAAGTTGATACTATACGATGACATGTGAGAGTTGATAATTATTGTTCTATGTGAAACCCACCGTTAAAATGTGCTGCTAATGTAATAAAAGCTTAAATTCTCAAGTAAATCCTGATATATTTATCTAATCTTAAGTGAATATTTAATCTTGGTGTCTTTAATATCAACCCTCGGCCAAGTTTATTACAGAAGACTGGGTTCGAGTTCGAGGGATTTTGTTAATCGCATTTGATATACAGCAAAATTTTTGTACGATACCTTCTTTTTTAAAACTGAATGTTATAGAAGAATACAGTTATCTTTTTATGTAATGTTGGATATATCCGAAAATTAAAACACAGCATTGATTTACTTATATATTTTATTTTTAACTCTATATTTAAAATATCCTCTTATACACAAAGGCAAAAGCGAAGCCAAAAAAGAACGTTAATAATGGCCTAATAAATTTAAAAGGAAACTGATATTTTGGAGGCGCTAAAGCTGCTTGCATTGTATGTAATTTTTTATCGGTATAAGGAGGATACCTAAGTGAACCGAGTTTCTCCCCCAAATAACTAGAATCTTTGTGTAAAACCGGTTTCTTGTGTATGAATGTCTCGTAACTGAACTTCCCGTGGTAGCCTCCCATTCCACTACCTCCAACTCCTCCGAATGGAAAACCATTAACTGCAGCTTGTAGAATGGTGTCGTCGATGCAAACGCTTCCAGCAGACGTGTTTTCTAGAATTTGATTTATTGTGTCTGAATTTTTTGAGAATATATACAACGCTAAAGGTTTTTCTTTACTATTTATGAACTTGATAGCTTCGTAAGCGTTATCTACATTTACTATTGGTAATATCGGACCGAATATTTCTTCTTGCATGATACCATCAGTAGGTGAAACATTAACAACAACAGTCGGAGCTACATATTTATTTTTTTCATCGGTTTCTCCTCCAATCGCTACTGTACATCCTTTTAACAATGCGGAAATTCTTTCAAAATGTCTGCCGTTGATGATTCTTCCGTAGTCCGGTGATGATTTCGGATCCTCTCCGTAAAATTGTTTTAAAGCTTTTTCGATAGCTGGAATTATTTTTTGCTGGACTTCCTTGGTGCACAAGAGGTAATCTGGGGCTATGCAGGTTTGACCGGCGTTGATGTATCTGCCCCAGACGATTCGTTTAGCTGCTATATCGAAGTTGGTTGAGCTATCTATGAATACTGGGCTCTTACCTAAAAAATAGGTATTTTTAAATAATAGGTATTCCAAAGTGCCGTCAAAAATAGTTATTTGTATACCAAATGCGATCTTTAGAATATACACTATTTTATACACAGAAAAGAATTCAGTACGCCTATGTATATAGGCAATTGAAAGCAAACTAAACGATATGGTTTTTGTTAAAATATTCATTTCATATGAGATAGTTATAATACATACGGTAGAAAATTCTAAGAAAATATATTACCTCCAAGTTCCAGAGTGGTCGGCGTCAGATGCTTAGCTGCGGCTGCATGGATAATTTTTCCCACTGCAGACGATCCCGTGTAAAAAATATAGTCGAATTTCTCTTTTAATAGCTCAGTGGTCTCGGCTACACCTCCATCGAACACCTGGTAAGCATCGTTGTCCAAATATTTCGGCAATTTATCCGCAATCACTTTTGAGCTGGCAGGAGACAATTCTGAAGGCTTGATGACAGCACAATTACCTGCGCTGATCGCCCCTACCAGAGGGCCTAGGGTTACTTGAATTGGGTAATTCCAGGCACCTTGAGTAGGTAATAAAATAAAATTAGAATACTGGGAATTATATACACAGTAAATATGAGGGAAACAATGAAACAACGGCTCCGATATCAACTTTAAACAAATATGAATTCAATTTTGATACTCTCTATCTTTAGCAGTTGTTAAAATTTAAAAAAATTGTTTGCAGAATAATGTTTCTACACTTTTTGTAAATAGTTTTTAAAGTTTTGAAGTTTATAAATTTATTAGTTTGGAAATAGTGACGAAACAAAGGCTTCAATATCAACTTTAAACAAATAGGAATTCAAATTTGAAACTCTATCTTTAACAGCTATTAAAATTTAAAAATGTAGTTTACAGAATAATGTTTCTACACTTTTTATAAATATTTTCTAAAATTTTAAAGTTTATAAATCTATTAGTTTGGAAATAGTGACAAAACTAAAACTCCAATATCAACTTTGAACAAATAGGAATTCAAATTTAATACTCTCTATCTTAAACAGCTGTTAAAATATAAAAATTTTGTTTGCAGAATAATGTTTTTACACTTTTTATAAATGTTTTCTTAAATTTTGAAGTTTAAGTTTATTAGTTTGGAAATAGTGACGAAACAAAGGCTCCAATATCAACTTTTTTAATTTTTTAAAAGAGTGAAAAGTTACATAACAGTAAAGACCTTACTAGAGATGAGTGCAACGTGGTCTGTTTGCATGGAAATCATAGTAACCGGCCATTCTGAACAGTTCATACAACATTACTAAACTTTAGTTGCTTGGTGATTTATAAAAGTAAACAATATCAAACAGGAGAGGTGGTAGGTATGTTGTCTTGTACACAAAGTATAGAAATTGCCATGCACTTGCCGTCTATGCCCTATGGCTTCTATACCTTTTTCCTAACAACCATGTTAAAACATATGAAGATAAACACTGGTACATTCGAAGAAAACATCGCTGAACATGAGGACAGTGATTAAGTTTAGGAGTAGGTACAGACGTTAGATTCAGCCAATGACTCCCAAAATGGGCCTTATTTTATTATTTTTCAAATTAAATATTTTTATTTATATATTATGCTTTTTTAAATATAATTACCGTTAACAACCTTCTAAACATCTTATACATATCTAAAAACAGAAAAAATGTGAAGCTTTCTTGTAGCTTTCAAATAATGAATACAAATGAGTATACATATTTAAAATAAAAAAGTACATAAAAATGTAATTTATAATGTATAATCTACATTGTATATCTTTATGTATAAGCTACTTTGGCAGTTGGGCGGCTTCTTTGGCACCAAAAAATGGCGACTAATAAATATTTGTTGACTCGCTTATTTAGATTGTAGTTTTTCTTACCTATAATAAGTGCAACACCATAGGGTTCATGTAAAATATACACACTGTCCATTAAATTAACTAAACCCTTGGAAATCTTCTCAGGCTTAGTCCACTCGTGTATGTGCATCAATTGATGTTTGATATCGTTAGCTACGAAATCAATTTCTAGGGTATAAGATTCTGTTTTTGATTTGTTTAAATCTTGTTTTAGGGCTTGCGCCAATTCTGCGGTATTTTCTTCAAAAAAGCGTAGCAATGCGTTCAGTTGTTTGACCCTGTATTCGATCGGTCTTGTTTTACCACTGTGGAAGGTGTTCCTCAATCTGGAGACCATTTCTTTCGGGTTTTTGCTCGCCATGGCGAATGCTGGTGGAAATAATAAATGTAGTCCTATAATAATAATATAATAATAATTAATTGAATATCAATTTGACGGGGGTGGGTGGCTCAGTGGTAGAGTCTCTGCCTGCGGATCCAAGGGTCCCAGGTTCGAATCCCACCGTTCGCCGGGATTTTTTAATTTAATTTAATTATTTAAAATTAATTCTAATTCCTTGGTAGAATACGCTAGTTCAATGATGATGTAATGATGGTTCCACTGACAAATAAAGTGACAGTAAATTTTTTGAGTGCGTTTTGTTCGTTTTGTTTACCTAAATTATATCGTTTTTTCACTTTTATAAATATATTCCCAAAGTAAGTAGATAACATGCATCAAATATACAATCGTTTAGTTACCAATTGCATACCTTTAAACTATTTTTTATGACCTGTAAACAATATATAGAAATAAACTAAAAACAGTGAAAAAGTATATGTCAAATTTATTGATGTTTTTGTTAAAATTTTGGTTAGAATTAAATGTCAGTGGAACCAAAATGACATCACACCGAACTAGCGTATTCCTCACTCGACCATTCACTGTTGGGTTCCAATTATCAGTGCTGTTCCTAAAGTGGCGCTGGGAAACAGTGACAAAGCCTACAGAGAATACGAAGCTAATAACCTTAGTAGTTGATGCCGATGACACCAAATTAAAAAAAAAAATGTCAATTTGATGTACCTTTTTCAGTTGTAATACAAGATCTAATTTTCTAGAGATAAAAATGCTTTATTTGTACTTGTGATACATAAGTTTAAAAAGTAAGAGTCCTGGTGAAAAGTAGCTTTCATGCAATTATTCTTTTTATTATTTTTGAGAAAATCCAAAAAAGTAGATTTCGGTATTTTGTATAAAACGAATTTTTCAATTTACTACTATTACTATTATTTCTTTAAATTCATTAAAAAATTGTCATTTCTTTATATTCATTCATTTTTTGTCCGATATTTTAGACCTCTCTGTAGATATCAAAGGTTTATTGGCACCATTTTAATGAGCACAAAACTGCGCAACTTTCTATCTGTTACCGTTTAAGAAATAGTAATACTGCCCATATGAAACAGTAGGAACCCTGAGCCGAAAAAAACGAAAAACAACATAAAAAATCATTCCTACAAGTAGAAATTAGTCAAAATTAAGAATAATGGGGTAAAATAGGGAACACGCACCAACACTTTATACCGAAAAATGACAATACTTCACAAACAATACAGCAAAAACGGGAATAGATTTATCATAAATTCTAGAAAGAGAGATACAAAAGAAAATTTTATATAAACAAAGTAAACATTAATCGAATTTTTGACATTTAGTGAAGCAACTGGTCTTTAGAAATTGAATAATGTGATCATGATATTTATAGTTCCTAGACATACAATATTTTTGCACAATTTGTTCGTTTTACCATTTTTTGCTATTTATCAATTTTTATTCCTATCGCCGTCTTTGGAATTTCTAGATTTAACCAAGGTGATTACGTCACCCTTTCTCACTGCGAAAAATCTAGCATGCAAACGTTAATAGATAAGCTGACGTGAGTCAAGACTTGCCGATAATTAGTTAATACTAACTAATGACGTGGTGATTAGCTACTTCCTTTTCATGCCGACTCATGTTCGTGATAACTACGCGTGGCTCAAAATTAAATCCAAACTGAGACTTAAAAAGAAGATGAATTGTAAGCAGAGGAGAAAAAAGATTGGGCAATCAGAAGAAGTCGAAGAAGAAATAGGAACTAGAGAAATATAATTTGGAAAAAAGTGATGAAAGTAAAGAAAAATAAAATACAAATGAGTAGAACAAGGAAAAATAGAAAATATCGAGTAGAATAGAAAACAAAATAAGACATGAATAAACTGTAGGAAAATATGAATAAGAAAATTAAATAAAATAGACTGATAGGACAAAGAATAAATAATTCAAAACAATACAAACGAAAAATGAATAAATAAAAAGGAGAATTAAAAACATACAGAGAAAAAAAATTAAAATAACCAAAGAAAAAATAGCTCTGCAGTTTTTTAATAAGAAATTTGACAAAATATGAACATTCTAAAATGTTTGCTGTGTCGAGAACTTTTTATAAGATTTTTTTAAATTTTTACAGACATATCTTTAGAACGTTTTGGGATATCATTGCACAAAGCGTAAATATTATAGGTGAAAGACCGTCTGAAAATAGCAATATTATGTATTGGAGATGAGATACGACCACAAAAACGTAGATTAAAGTTATGAACATCAGAACGATACATTATTTTGTTAAAAAGATATGGAGGGGATCTATGTAAAATAATGTAACAGATTTGCCGGGTGTAAGACTTGTCTGGATTTCATATCTAGCTAGTTTGGATCCTTGAGTTTATGTAAGACTGTCGGATTTCAGTATTCCATATGAAAATCTTAAACAAGATTTCTCTACTCTCTGAATTCTAGTTAAGTCTGCGCTATCTAAACAGGGCCCATACACTGTATCACAAAAGTTAAGATTACTCAGAACAAGGGAATCTGTTAATAATCTTTTTGTTGAAGTTTGAAGAATATGTTTAAATGCACTTGTTAACGTGAAGTTTAAACCTCAAGTCATTATCAATTACTAAACCTAAGTTGCGAGCAGATGACGAAAATGATACAATATTCCCATCAACTAGAATCTGCATTTCATTCTGTAGTTGATGTCGGTATTTAGCAAATAACTTTGCCACACTTTTAGAAGAATTACTATTAAGTTGATGAATATTTGAAAGTCTAACTAGTCAAGATCTTCATTAATATGATTACTGGCTTCTAAAGCATCATCGTTATCGAAAGAAAATTTAATTTGAGTATCATCTGCATAAAAGAATGGCTTACCATTCTTAATGCTATTCCCAAAGTTGGAGGTATATAGTGAAAATAATAAAAGCCCAAATATTGATCCTTGAGGAACTCTACAGGAAATCTGCGCTTAGTATTTGATGAACCTGCATCGCAGTAACTACAAATTGCTTCCTGTTATCAAGGTAGCTATTAAAAAGTCCAATAACATCATTATAGCAACCAATAAAATGTAATATTGAGAGTAAAATTGTATGATTAATAGTATCAAATGCTTTGGAATAATCAAGCATAACAATGCTGCTGTTTTTTTTAACCGACTTCAAAAAAGGAGGAGAGGTTATCAATTCGTCGCGATATTTTTTTTTTTTTTTTTTTATGTATGTTCAGCGATAATTCTTCAGCACGGTGTCCGATTTCAATAATTCTTTTTTTGTTAGAAAGGGGGTACTTCAGGGGTGGTCCCATATAAATTTGGTCAAAATATAATAATTGGGTCTGTGAGAAAATCCTCAAACTCTTCATTTTTTATGTATGTTTAGCGATAATGCTTTACCAAATTGTCCGATTTATATGATTCTTTTTTTGTTAGTAAGGGGATACCTCAGGGGTGGTCCCATATAAATTTGGTTAAGATATGGTGACGCCATCTGCACGTTTTTGAAGTCGGTTTTTTTAAATTTTTAATTTCTAATACTTGTTAGCATCAATGTCTCTGAAGAGATTATCAGTTATCAAGTAGTGCTGTAGTACAACTATAGCCAGAACGAAAACCTGACTGTCGTAGTGGAAGTGTTTCATTATTTTCTAATTGAATATTTAAGGTAGTTCACTCGTAAAACAGCCTTTCTTAAGAATTCAATAAAATTGAAATATGAGGTTAAAGGGTTAATGAAAGTGTCTTTTATGTACCTAAAAAAAATAAAAAAAATTTGACCCTCTGTAAAACGAGATATTAACAATCAAAATGTGCATAATTAACACTCTTGAAGCCCTGTCATGTACACAATCATTGCATTTATTTCAAGATATCTCGAAAACGGTTCTTACCATATTTTTTAAAAACTAATGTAATGTAAATCAAGAATTTTTTTACCGTTTTGATAAAAAAAAATATAGATTTTTAAAATAAAAATGTTCTTAAAGCAGTCGACGCATAGTGGCGTATTGTGATTACAACTTGGCAACGTTGTAATCGATATACTCAACGCCCGCTAATTCAAATGTCTGTTAGATCATCTGCAGGGTTGCCAATCGTACGGTAATTACCGTATTTGTACGGTAATTTCGATTAATGTACGGTATACGGTCCAAAGTGGTAACCGCACATAAAAGTACGGTATTTACATAAAACGTACGGTAAACGTACGGTATTTTGAACAGAACTAGCAAAGACTTTGAGTTGTGTAAGGACTAATTCCACTAAGGTTGCCATCTGTCCTTTTTTGAAAAGGACAGTCTTTTTTTCAAGCAAAATGTCCTTGGTACTTTTCAAAGCTTAAAATGTCCTTTTTGACGGCGCATGTCCTGTTTTATTCTTCGATATCGTTGAAAGGGGAAAGAGACCTGGCTTGTACAAAAAGATACAAGCTGAGAAGCTTTTTAGAAGCTCAGTAGAAGGACGAGGGCATTTTTGTTACACATTAGTCGACCTTTTTTTTAGTAGAAGAAGGTGGCAACCCTAGATTCCACCGTTGTGTTAAACGAAGTTTAAATTACTAAGGACCGATTCCACCGTTGTGTTAAACGGAGATTAAAATGACGTTGTATGTAAAAATGTCATTTTAAACTTCGTTTAACATAACGGTGGAATCGGTCCTAAATGATGAATAAAATGACATTGTCTAATCTAATGTAAAAATGCCATTTAATTTTTTTTACAGCACATGTTCTTTAAAAGGACCTGTTCTTCTGTTTTTTGAACAAAAATAAGCTTTTTTTTGAAGCTAGGTAGAAGGACTAGAGATTGATTAAAATATGATGAGGATCTTTTTTTGTTTTTTAGAAGCCCAACAAAAATATATTGAACACAATATAGATTTTGTACAAAATAAAAGTGTACGGTAGTGGGAGGCCATGTACGGTAATATGAATTGAGCGGTACGGTAAATAAAATTTTAAAAGTTGGCAACCTTGAACTAAGGTTAGATCAGTCCTTCCCAACCTTTTTATTGCCGCGGACAGGTCAAGT